CTGGCGCTTAAACGTGATCGAATCTCTTTCAGTAACAAGTTCAGAAAATCCAGAAGGGAGAGGCGGAAATTTTTTAAAAATAATGCACATCTAGCGAAACATGACCTGCTACACACCTGTTTTGTTTAGTCTAAAACACAATAAAAGACAATATTTATACCTCCTCTTTTTGAAAGAGATATAATATAGATCACAGAGGAAATCATGTTTGCAAAAGTGCATTTTTTAAACTTTAATTCATCCATAGGCAAGCTACATTTGGAAGACAAAGAACAAATTACTTTGTCGGCTACTCTAATTAAATTGATTCGCAGTTAGAAATATTGAATTCGTCTCTTCAAGCCCTCAAAACTACGCAAACTCTTTCCACTATTCGGTTCAACATACTTCAGACCTACTACAGATCCGTTTTGCACAATGGTTGTTGGACTCCATGAAGTTCTGTCAAATTTTTTGACTTTGATTTATCCTACATTTAGTATTTTCTTCAGACAATTTTTATGAACAAGCAGTACTCAAAAAGATATATTATGAGTAAACTTAACTCCTGAGGACGATAGCAGTCTGAAACAAGGATAATGCCGCCTTTGCTGTTTTATCGCGAGGCAAATCACTAGAGCCCTTAGCGGTTTTACGCTCAAGAGACTCTGCAGTTTTCCATTTTCAATGAGTTAGCATAGTCATGTATTGTAGATTGATAATGATAACAAACACTAGTTTTTATTGCTATGATAACCCGATTAAATTATCTGCAATAAAGATAAATAAATAGGGTATATTAATTTGAATATTAAGCAGAAGCTTTCAAAAATCTCTAAAATTCTGAAGAGTTGTACATTGTGCAGACGTTAGAAATCGACATCAAAATTGCCTGCTTCCTTATACGGAATCAAACATAGGGAAAACAAGCAACGGACTTCTTTAATATTACCCAAGATTCAAGAAGTAGCGCTCGCTTTATTGCTAGCGCTATCCTTAATGAAAGATAGAAGAAATGTTTAGTTGTGTACCGTTGCGAAAAATTTTATGCAAATGACAATACACTTCTAGTCACTGCTGTAGGTCCATCCCTATCTGAGAAATTGCACGCGCTGTTGGCACTTAGGAGCATTACTACTAATTCTTCAATGATGAAGTTCAAATAACCTTTGAGCAAGATTTTTATCAAAATAGGTAAAGCTGGATTTTTATAGGAACCTTCCTGAAATTTTTTCTATTTCTTCTCAATGCGTGAAAAACAATATAGACCTTAGTCTTTTGCATGGAACTTCCATATTTTCCAAAAATTGCTCTTTCTGTCGCCTTGTCTCAAAATCTCTTTTTCATCTAGCACAAAGCCACCTTTTTCAATTCCACTACAAATTGCATGGCAAAACTCAAAAGATATTTAGTTGTGAATCGCATTGCATCGGTGTACAGACATATCATCGACTCCTGCAACGTGTTCATCTTTCAAGACGAGTTTACTCTTTTTCAGAGAACAGTATATGTTCTGTCAACAATGCGATGCAATGCAAAAGAGCGGCATCCATTTCAGGGGATGCTCTCTTTTAAGGGTCAAGCGTTACGGACCAAAGACTTCCTGCTATGCCCTTTGGAATAACCTGCGGATAGTCTCTTTTTCAGATTCATTACTCTGCCCTGAATACGCTGCATGGGTCTTGCGTACTGCTCTGCCTAGCAAGCTACGATAAACTAAAACGTTGTTCAGCGAAAAAAAAGGTAAAACATCATTTTTCTTTGAGAATCTTCTAACTTTTAAAAAATTTAAAAGTAAATGTTGACAAATTTAAGGGGTTTTATTGATGTAAAATCCAATTCTCAGTTTAGAAAATCAAACTTTGAATTCAAGTTACAGATTGAACATCCAAATGCAGTTTCTGAGATCTTTATAGTACATAATTTATACTTTCTTTATTGCGGATTTGTACAAGAATATTGAGGTTTTTTTCATTCCCTCAAAGCTTAGCGTACAAAAGTGGCATGGATCCAAGCGGCGTATGCCGCGCAGCCTAATTACTGAGTGCTGTAGGAACTGGTTGGAGGCTGTCTTCACGGCTTGCCGGCGAGTCTTTGCTCCATAACAGTACGTCGCCCTTTTTGATTGTATTCTCATTGCTTCACTATTCTCTTCTTGGTTATTACAAA